TAGCTGGGATTTGTTTTAAAATACTTTGTTCTCTGACTACAGCCAATGGTCACCATGCCACAATGATAAGAGAAAAGGGAGCGGATGTGAATAAAAAAATAAACAAACAAACGCCAGCAAGTACCGACTAAATTACTAGAAACAGACCCTTTAGTATTTTGCATTCCATATAAAATATCGTAAGCGGTATATTCAGCCTAGAGAAAAAATAAATAAGCGAATAGCAAAATCACTGCACGTTATCGAGTTTTTATCATGAGGGAATCTCGTATTTGCTGCCGTTTGGAATGTGATAAACGGTACTAATTTGATGAGCAGCTCGCAAATGCAATATTTTAAGCGCCCGTAAAAAGCTATCAATAATTATTAAAGTTAGAAATTGAACTTGAAGGGGGTCCGTTAAACTTGTCCCAGACCCAACGCAGAAGAAAAATAAGCACCTATCTAAGACTTTAGAGATGCTAAATTGAATGGTTTTTTAGCTGAAATATCTTCATGAATTTGTTCTGGATTTTTCTTTTTTGTTGTTGGCAACATTCTTACAACTATAACTCCGTAAACTGAATTAATACATATTTCAACTGTGCTGGTTTGGGATTCCTTTTTTGGAGATTTGGCAGACGTCCTTTGATAAAAAACTGTTTCCAAATGATAATATGGTTGGTATTTAAATAAAACAATAAGATGCATTAATAATTAAAAATCATTATTAATTAAAATCGAGGTACTTGCTACCACACTTAAATATGAAAAAAAAGCAGTTATCTATATAATAGATTATGTTATAATAGGCTAACTATTGACGCCCTTATCGAATCATTTCGTAGACGCGTATCAGCACTCTAAGATATTATAAACAAGCTTTCCGTTTTTGGTGCTGCATATTTGGTGTGCAGTTCTACAGCTACATACATACTTTAAAAAAGCATGTTGAATGGTACTATGACCAGTATCTACTAAAATGTATACAAATTTAATATGCAATAAAAAACTTAAGCGATGCTACACACAATTCGAACAATTACAAAGTTATAATAATTTTTCAAAATGACAAAATAATTAAGTTAACGCCGAAATACTCAAACGTCACTCAATTTTAAGTCACGCTTATGTATAGTTCTGTCAGTACACATTCTATAAAAATTTATAGAGATGACACTATATTTATTTACAGTTTAAAATTGAGTGGCTTTTCAGTTTTCGGGCGTAAGTCATTATGTAATTGTTTTCGTGCTTGAATCAACTACTAGAATTTTCGTAACTCGGAAATAATTAAATTAATAACACGTACAACACGGAGTACCTACCTAGCTAAAAAAATCAGCCAATAGGTATGTCACCAGTCAAATCGTCTAGAACAGACTACGACGTTAAATACTTGTAACATTCTAGTATAAAACTGCTAAGCTTTACTAAAGACCCATGCAGGTTTTTTTTTGTCGACCGGGAATTGTCAATGGCAACGGCACTGTAACGTATTTTGGGGACTACCTGCTCCCGGTCGCTGCAGCGTTATTGTACTTTAAACGTTAGTACGTTAAACTACCTACGATAGCGATTATGCATCATGGGACCAAGCTTTTGAAAAACTAATTGCCTATTGCCGATTCTATGCGGAATGTAGTGGTCTAAAGCAACAAAGAGCTTAAAAGCAAGTGAATTGTCAGTTACCGACGTTAGAACTTCTAGGACTTATAATGAAAAATTTAAGAAACACGTTTTATTTGCTTCTTTATTATTATTCGATGTAAAATCCGTGCCACGTGCTACATGCATAGGTGGTGCTAAAAATAAGAATTCTAAGTAAACAAAACATGCAACATGAAACTAAGGTGTTACATTAGAATTTAATGTAAAAAATATACCACGTGAGTACCAGTTGTCCATGGTATGGCTATGGACAGTTATTATACACTCAGACACAATTAACCGCCCACTTATTTTTCGTTACCCAGTACATTTTCATAGTTATTACTTATTGTTTATTTTGAATAAGTTATTATACCAATAATATCCACTGTCTTCAAATTCACTTTTTTTTAAATGCGCCACTAACGGTTTTTTGGGATTTATTAGATATTGCAGCCATTTGCGTCAGTGGAAGTCCATTTTGTTTCGTTTTTTTGTTAGTGATGGAATATACTATATTTGGAGTATTCATTGTTTTTAATCATAAAATCTGCAACAAGGACTAGGACTGGTTTTAGTTTCTGTTAGATGCAGTTAAGGATATTTTATTTCTGAAAAGTTCACGCGGTACGCTACTCTATCAGCTTTGGCAGACTGATTGATATACTAACAAAGCCTTTTTGGTTTGAAACTAAACTCTGTTGTCTGAAAGTGGAGTTTGAAAGTCTTATCGACTTTTAATGCGACACAGTTCTATATGGCTGTACATGCCTCTACAAGAACTAGAAAGGAATTTTAGGGTTCTATCACTCCACTTCGTGTCCTACAATTACTTTCAGGACACTGTAGTACCACAGTTAACTTTACTAGAAAAATTATGAATGGACTACGGAGAAAAAGATTTATGAAAGGACTATGGAGAAAAAGAGTCTATGATACCCTCAATAGGTCTAGATAATTGCAGAGATGCGATGACACTTATCAATAGCATCCAGATGCTATTGATTACGACTGCTAGATGATGTTAATGATTCTACAAGTAGTGTTATAAAGCACTTTCGAATGTTGTCGCCTTTAATTTCTAAGAATATATTAATAAGTGAAAGGGATAATATTATACCTATCAAAGAAACAGCTAGAAAAACAGTACACGGTTAATACACGGTTAATTGTGTCTGGGACAGCAGTTATAGTGACTTTAGTTATTCCACTCATTAGAATTGCCTTTTAAAAGTGTGACAGTGGCACACTACTGCATTCTGAAAACAAAAAAGAACAAGTTCTGCATTTTTGATAACACAACAGAACTCTTTTTATTTTCCAAAGGGCAGAGCTGAATATATGATAAACACCTACATATAATTTCTTTGAAAGGTGGCCACTATACCAGTGTTTCCTCCTGTGTCAATAGTTCATTTACAAGATTATACTGACCCGGAACAACAATAATAATAATAATTTGTGGGACATACTAAATATTGTTTTGTGTGAAAATCTAACCCGTGACATATTGTGCTTGTAGCAGAAACTGCTCCAACCGTGCAGATATTGCATCAGTTATAAGCGCCTAGTGATTTACACCAGATGCTTGCAACTACTTGAAAATTAATTAAGGGAAATGAATGTACTCCTTTGCATTCCTACAAAAGTTATTACACTTTCGGATGTTTTCTATAAATCCCTGCAAATACTTCAATTGTTTAAAATAATAACAATTCATTAAATTAGCAATAATTAAGAAATAATAAACAAAGAAGGATACTAGAAATAACAATGAGGCCAACATTAAGCAAAATAAAATACATTAACAATCATTATAAACGAAATGAAAATAAATTTTTATTGCAGCAAAATAAAATACATCAAGAATCATTATAACCGAAATGAAAATAAATTTTTATTGCAACTGCTTGATTCCTATACAAAACTATAAAAATAACCCCTCAATGTATACTCATCCACTGGATATCTGATAAATCCAATAACTATCAGCTTTACTTATAGATTTCTTATTGGCATACATATATATTTTTTCAACAGAAATTTTCGATTGTTTGAGTATTTGCATAATAAAATGGATTAAGATTGGTTATAAATTTTAGCTGATTAATGGAATAATAATAGCTGATAATAACAGAAAGTTTAACTTGTAAACTAATAATCAAGAAGTAAGGAAGCTGTATGAGTACTTGAAATAGTAACCATGATGTAATTAAGATATAGCGTAACAAGCAATACACAAGAACAAAATAAAAGAAAAAAATATAAAATGAAAGAAAAATGATGCATAACATTTACCAAAACAAAAATGCTTATTAAAATCTCCAATAATAAATAGCACAAACTTAAAAATAGATAATGAAATAAATACATTTAGTTTTGTTACATTAATTACTTACGTTTTATAAACATTTTTGTGCTGAAAATGTTACCTCCACTGCAATTTTGAAAACTATGGATGCCAGATAATGAATAGAATAGTTCAGGTGGTATTTTTGTTAATAGGGAAATGATTATTTCTTCGCAAATTACTGAATTAACTGTAAATATATAAAGACAAGTAATAAATTTTAATGAAGCACCAAAACACAAAACAAGCTGTTAATTGGGTAAGTCATGAAAGTATCACAAATACTTCTATTTACAAACATGATATACTAAGAATTAAATTGTGATTAATTGTTTACAAACATCAACATTATCAACATCTTTCAGTTGAAATACAGAATCCAGTTTTTGTGTTTTCTTGGAGAAGAAACATCTGAACTTTTATTGAAAATAGCAGCTCAAATCTCCATTCAACAGCTTGATTTTGTAATCATTATAAACATGAGCAAAGTGACTACTTCAAATAAAGTTATTCAACACAGAAAGTAGTCCCACTTCGCATAAAGATAAATAAATAGACATTCGCTTTGCTATAAATTAGTTATAAAAGAGAATGAAGAGTTAGAGTTGAGAGGTACTTTTGAAAAAGTTGAATAAACTTTGAACTGCAGCTGACTTGTAATCTTCACTTGCATGTGACTATGTTCTTCACTGATGTTTTAGTATTGTGCATGTAAAGAATAAAAAATAGTCACTCATAATTGCACAAGTGTCACAGACAATGGTTACTACAAGTCATGTTGCAGCAAAACAAATAAAAGCTTGCCTGAATGCAATATAAACTACCTGTAAGTTGTTTCTCCTCCAGATAAGACATGACTGCTGGCACAACAATATTCAACTCACAGGAAATTTACATGGGTGGCAATAATAACAATATTTGTAATTATTCGCAATTGCGGCTCTTCTGACTGCTGAAGTGGCATTTATTACGTAAATAAAATGATACAAACTTTATTAAACACGTTTTTAAAAAAGGATACGATCCGGGTCCTCGCTGACTCGGCGCCAACGGCACCTGATTCCCGTTGCTACTCATATTCTTGGCAGCATAGGTATCGGGACACGTACACCACTCAAGGTGGCACGTAAAATCGCCCTAACCGATTGTAGGACACATCCGGCACATAGGTAGAGTATTACAGACGTCAGTTAACAAGTCACACGTTTTAATTTATACCCTTTGAAACCAACGTTTCTTGAATATACATTGTACACCACTTGTAAAATCACAAAATGTTCCTGGTTAATGCTATTGGCATCACTAGGATAGATAGAGCCCCAGTCACTAAACAAACGACAGTACAAAATGGCGGATGTTAACCAATAAACAAACGTGACTGTCACTGATGTACTAAAAAATTATTGCTAATCACTTAATTTCAGCGTTGGTGCCGAAGTTTTAATTCGTTTAAATAAAGATAAAAAATGTAAAAATATTACTTTTAAATATGAATATTAACACGTATTTTTAAAATCTTGAAAACTGTCATCCGATCGTTCACGTCTACTCACGTCACGCATGCAATATTTCGTTAGCATGTCATTTTTTTTCTATTTAGTGATGACAAAACTAGGCATCAACACAGCATAGTGTTGGACAAAATTACACTAAAAACTTCATCGATTTTAGTAGATTGCTCATTTATGAGACTTACAAATACGCATAATAATATCTATAAACAAGTTTCACAACAATGTAGCGGTATTTACACCTTTCGAGATAATTATTTAATCCGCATATTGAGTTGCATGTGACCCTTATTTATTTATTATCAGAAAATGTTACTAAAGAGTATACATTTATTTCTTACTAGCTTTTACCCGCGGCTTCGCTCGCGTCACCAAAGGATAAAAGTAGCCTATGTGACATATACCAATACACACAGCGCCATCTATACCAATTCTATTGTTTTCGCTCGGGAAAAATTTCTCAAAATTTTCCGGGATAAAAAGTACCCTATTATTTATTCCGGACTTCTAACTTTACGCCTGCAAAAATTCAAAGCAACCTGTGTAGAAGTTGCGGCGTGAAAGCAGAACAAACAAACAAACTCACTTTCCCATTTATAATAGTACCTATATAAGGAAGGACTACCGTGAAACACTTAAGTGTTAAGAAATTAAAACGTTAATGAATGTAGAAAAATTTAAGGGGCTAAATTACTTGTTAATTAATAACACTTTTAGAAGTGTAAAGAAAATAATTATTTGACGCACAACCATACTGTACATTTGATACTACAGATGGCAGCACTGACTGTTTTTTACTTGGCTTCTATGTGACAACACTTCGATTCAATAGAAATCAGTCGAGTAAAAAATACTAAACATGATAATTTTTGCTAGAATTTTAAATAAATTGTAAGATGTATTTAGATAAGAAAAAATATTATTTCCATGGATTGCACCTGCTAGCTAGCTATCTTTTAGCTAGATAGCTAGCTATCTTCTTCTATTTATTTTTGTCCTGTCTATTACTAACTAAGTAGGATAAAAATAAATTAATTTAAATTTGGGGGCATAATAATAATTATGTATGATCAATGAGAAACTCGGTGATTGGCCAGCTTGCCAGCTACTGCACACGTGTTGCAGTGCAGCAAGGCGGTGTCCGAGCTGGCCCTATGACCAACTACGGTCTACCTCCGAGGTACAATACAATTGGCGCTCACGTGGTGGCCCATGTCTTGTCCTGGTCAGTAGGATACCCTCCCGTCCTGGCGACAGGGACCACCACCTCATGCTCCGTCACGAACTCGTCCAGGCCCATTATCCGCGAGTCCAAGCACTTGGTGGGCTTGGGTCACGTGGGCCTCGTGTGCACCAAGGCACGCCCCTCTGACGGGCTCCAATTGCAGTCACTTCCACTGCGAACTCGTTAGGTGCCCCGAACTTTTCGCTACCGCTGCCGCTGCTATCTATGCGCTTTCTTGCGGCACTTCCTTGCTTCTTTGGCGACCTTCTTCGCCTCACTGACTATCTGCCAGTCGCCACTGCCTAGATCCCTGGTTGGCAGGGTAATCCAAGCCACAGCTCCGCCACCTGTTCACCGTCTACTTTTTTTGCACCCTGTTGGTGCATACGCTGTCGGTGCAGCTGGAGCCTGCATCAGTGGACCAGAAGAGGTCGAAAGCTTGGCCGTAGTAACCGCGTACGAGGTCGCCTGAATAGCTGCTAGCGGGAACGGCAGAGCCTACTGTCCAACACGTCAAAACGCTGCAGAAGAGCAACCAATTCTCGCCGAATCAGCTCGAACATATCGGGTTCTGCCAAGGGTTGAGTTTAGCTTTCTCGAGAAGCGGCGAGTCTGTTGAACAGAGTACTGAGGGCACCCTACACTACTAAGGCCGCCGCCGTGAGGCTGAGATTTCTTCTCAACTACCCGAAGGCTCATAGAGCCGCACCCGCCCTCCGAACCCTCGGCCCCAGATACTTCCACTACGGAGAAGTCTGAAAGGGCGGCATTTCTCAATGCGCTACCCTCCGCAGCCAGTCGCTCACCTGGCTCGTTGCGGGTAGTGGCTGCCAGCCTCTTGCTGCCCTTCCCTTTGCCGCCCTCCCCCCTCCTCGTGGTGATCTTAAGGACTGGAGCCTCCTGCAGTCTTGCATGTTGGAGGACGAGGACAGCCCACGGCAATCATTCACCCTGAGACGTTTAAACGTACCCAACGTAACCTAACGCTCACACCACATGCGGATGAGGTGTCGAAATCCGAGTTCGACACCCTACGTCTTTGCGCCCGTAAATTCCACTTTATTTTAAAAATTTTATATCATACATTTCCCACAACTATGGGGGAAATATTCAGTCCACCCAGGCAGCGCCCCCTGTACTTGTGTTAGTGTATATTTGTTTTTCAACTAGAGGGTCCACCGGTCCTCCGACCCTCATGACTGACACTACTCCTGCTATGTATACCTACACCGCGCACCAGAATTAGGTATTGGATGAATTTTTATAGAGGGTATCTTCCTTGTGGTCCAGGCGATTATCTAAGCCAAGAGGTTGCAGTCAAGGACACATTTGTCCCGATGCTGCTCATTGCCAGGGTGAATGCACAACGAGCACTGCTCTTGCTTCTCTGCCACCTTCTCCGCTAGGTTTAAGGAGACGGGCGGAAAAACGATTCATCGGACGCGCAAACTGCGCGCACAAAGGGGAGACAGCGGCCTTCATGATGATGCAAGTGCATCATAAAGTATAAACTTATGGTAAGTTACCTAAAGACATCTTAGAGTAGGCGTTTAGATAGGTTATGTGGCATGAGTTTAATTTTCGAAAGAGTTAAAATGTGACTTTACAAAGAAGAATAATAAAATAGGTAAAGTAATTGTTGCCTATTATTATCATACTGCATAAGCATTAACCAATCCTGATATCTTTTCCTATTCAAACTGCCTTCCATTCTTTATTCAAAAATTTTTGTGAGACAAATTTTTATGAGACTTTAACAGTCTAACAGTTTGACTGCCGACAGAAAATTGTTGAAGGTAAATCCTCCGCTATCGTGGCCCATATCTTGTCCCCCATGGCGTTCAAGGTGTTAAATAAGTAAAAAAATAATAAAATATCAGCTGAATTGAGAAGCTTTCTCATTGTAAAATGCGCAAAAACAAATTATAATAATAGGGTAGATGACTATTTTTTTATTTTAATGTCCGTCTGTTAGTTTATTTAAAAACATTAGACACATTTATTTTTTATTTTCTTACGGAAACGTATAGTTCCGAAGATATTATATTGATTTGAAATATCGCATGACGTCACTTTTGAGTACGATTTATACTATAAAATGACGTAGCTACCTCCCACTCGAAAACTTTGATCCGTTTTATCCACAGATATAATAAAGAAGGTTTTATCCAAGTATTGTTACGTTACGTGTCTAATATTTTTTCATTACATAGAACGGACTAACATTTTAATTTTCATACCCTGTCATCATCTCTATTGAGACTGACATCGATGAATCGGAATTACACCAAAATTTTTTTGTAAAATTTTTCTAGAGACAATTTTAAGAATTATATGAAATGAAATATCTCAGCGGTCCTGCAACCGATTTTTTTTAAATTTTGTAGTAGGTACGTAATGTTAACGTGCATATTTTGCAAGAGAGATAAAATTCGAAAAAGAAAATATTAGTAAAAAGAAATCGTTATGAGATTAGACATAAGTTATGATGCAGAATGCTTAATTTAAGTAGGTACTTGGATTTGTATTGGTACATAATCTTCTATACTTACCTATAATAATCTGTAGAGAGGTCAATTCTGTACATGAAATTTATTTTCAAAATAACTATCAGGGGGTGATCGATACTAATGCCAAAAATGATTGAATTTTTGTCTGTCTGTCTGTCTTTATGTAAGTACTTATAAGAACAAAAACTACTCGACGGATTTAAAAAAGCATATATAGGTAATATGTCTATCTTCTATGGTTGTCTTAGAATAACACGTGTAACTCCCGATAGCTTAGCAGTTCGGAGAAATCTCCTATTTATATTTGTTTACTCTTGCGTTTATAATAGGTACTCTCACTCATCCATAATTTAAAAAAGTTAGCATTATTACTTATTCAATAAAAAATAATCATAGAAATCGATATAGAATCATCCTCGTGCCCGTCGCGTGTGAGTACTGAATCATGCTGTAAGGATTACATTTGTGTAACGGTGTATATGTTCGTTAATCAGTCATATTAAAACGACTGAATGGACCGGAATGAACTTTGTAACAGAGGTAGTATATGGTCTGAAGTATATATAAGGGGTGTATTAAAAAGGGGTCGATAAGGCAGAATGAAGACCATGTACCCCCAAGCGCAGCACTGGATGTTCAACATCAAGTTAGACAGATAACCTAGAATTAAGATCACACGATTGTGACCTATTATTGAAGTAAGTAAGTTCAGGCTGATATGATGATGATGAACCAAAAAATATGGTTGGGTTGGTTAAAATGAAAAGCGAGTAACAATTTACTCGGTTTTCATTTTCGAGATAGATCGCATTTTTTTGTCAACTAACGACGGTCGAGTGAGTAACTTAATACAAATACTGCTAAGCACTTTTTGTATTTACTTAATATCTACAAGTTTTAGTTTGGGTTGTTGGTACTACAGTTGTGAGCTAGGGTAGGGCAAGTGCCTAATCTGCCCCGGATTCGAACCAACTTCTTTCAGACCGTAGTGGTAGGTACTTAAAGTAGCATGGTGGGATTAATCCACGAAAGAAACTTAAATTGTTAATTTTTGGTCGAAAAACAATGTTAAAAAGATAACAAGTCATGATTTGAATTAACTCGTTGAGTGCCGTCAATATAGACACAATTAACACGTGCACTAAGTAGCTAGATAAAAAGAACTAAAAGATAATTGTGTATAACTTACCGTCTTGCCAGAGAGACACCAGGACTGCCGGGACTATCGTCGTACAACACGTCGGACAAGTCACCAAATATTCAGATAACAATTGATTTTGTACAATATCTTCATTATAAGAATCGTTAGAGACTGTTATACTCGACAAACTATGTGAAAGATCAATATCAACTTGCGGGCCAGGACTCTGCCTACTAAAGTCTGAATAAAGGGCTAAAGTAGGACTCGATACTGAACTTCGAACAGGACTGTAGCCCGAATCATCGTTTCCCGAGTTCGAGTAGGTGTAAAACGATTTATCCATTTTAAAAGATTCAGTAAATAAAATTGAAAACTAAAACTAAATAAGTTTCGGTCAAATCTTTCAAACTCAACACAGTCACGGATTCAACGTAGACGAATGAAAAGTCTGTAAAATGTCGGTACTAACTAAAGAACGGAGTATTAACTCAATAAAATGCCCTCTTTGTTCGATAATTATGTTCCGAATGGAAAGTAATACATTTCAATACAATTAAGGTATTCAGTAATTAACTAGTACCGTCATAGGCACTATGAAATTATAGATTAAAAAAATAAAACAGTTGACTTCAAAAACTAAAAGTAGCAAAAGGTAATAACTAAAAAGCTAATAGAAATAACTATTATTAGTCATCCGTATAGGTTACCCACCCACTGATAAGAAAGAAGTCGGATCCACAAGATTTAAACAAAATTATTCGTTTAAACCCTAAAAATGGGTATTTTTTTATGTTAATTGTACTAATTTTCAATTAATTTATTATATTTCTAAATAACAATTATAAACACTCAAATCTATTTTTTTAAAACGAATAAATAATTAAGACCCAAAAATGGTTTTGATAATTTGAATATGACCCAAAGAACTAACTAGCCGCCATCTGTTATCATATCATAGTACTAGGTGGATATTAAAGTATATTCAATTATTCATATCGTCTAGCTTGTCTCCCATTTGAGTAGGCAGAGAAAATTGAACGCCATTTGACAGAATTCCGGCATATCTACCTCTCTCGCTTCATCTACATTTAACAATCTTTTCAAGGTCCATGCATAATGTCAATAAGAACAAAATTCAATAAAACAACAATAAAATAATTTTAAAAACCAAATTATTTATTTTAGGCAAATATTAAAATATAAGTAAGAACACAATGAATATCACTATATCTATAGATTATTTATCAAACAGTTTAAATTACTTAAATATATTATAATTGATCACAGATATTTAGATGTGGGAAAGTCCAAACTCTTTTCATTTCCCACTGGCAAAAATAAAAGTAGAAATGTTTAAATCGTCATAATTAAATCCATTAGGTTGAGTTGTTTATTTTGTTTATCTATAATTACCTACCTATATAAATTCGTCTGCATAAAATTATAATTAAAGACAACTATCGAACTATCTTATACTTATCTAGCGATGTAAGCTGTGAAGGAAATTGGGACAAACATACTAACACGCATACAGTATTATAGACTTTAAAAGACGAAAAATTAAATTAAAAACGTTACTTAGCTAAGATCTAAGTAGTTACTCAAAATAGGAAGGCGAGGTCCGATGCAGTAAATATTTACAACATTCTTACAATATTCTTACAATGGTAAATATAAACTATGGTGATCGTAGCATTGTACAATTTCATTGCTGGCTTTCTTGCACAAGTACCTATGCACTCGAAATCTACAAAGTACAACTATAATTTTGAAGTATCATCCTCGAATGTCGGATTCGCAGCACCTTTCATTTCATGCATTTTAGAAACATCTTTCGACGCTTTCCTCTGCAAAAAAAAAAGAAAAACGTTATAATAAAACTTAGAAATTTAAAGTCAAAACAGGGTTCCCAAGTGTTATGTGATGTCATATTAAGCGTTGCTCTACTATGATAATTATTCTATTTATTTCACGTGAATTTATTTTCATCAAACCTTCAAAGTCAAAGTATTTATTTTAATTAAAACATCAACAAATACAAATTAAAAAATATTCTGTCAGTCTGTCCGTCAGTGACGGTAGGTGCTCGTTCCAAAACGTAGTTCGAATGGCTCCGTGTCGGCATCAGCCCTATTGGGCCCCATCTATGGTGGTTGAAGGCTCCTTGAAGCATGCGCGGAACGCGACGCGCCGTTCGCTCGGGTCTGGTCGGATGGCGTGTTACCCGGCTCGCCGTCCGCAGGCCCGTGCATACGGTGGCCGGAGATCATCTCGCGATCCCCGATGCCCGAGTATCGCTCGCGGAGGCTAGGGCGTGACAAGTTTCATTGCCTCATGTGCCTCGCTTCCTCCGGACACGAGATGTTGCGGTCGCCGATCACATCCCTGAGGACACGGCGGTGCACAGCTCATGCAGGGCACACCGCCATCGCATGCTCCACCGTGTCCTCCGGGCGGTCCTCGCAGTGATATGCAATGGGCGCTAGTGTTGCGATTCAAGAGTATGAACTTTCACAACACCAATGTCGGTCGATTGGAATTGAATTCAAGACTAAGTCCCCTAGTTCTTCATATCTGATTGCATAGAATCTGCAGAACGTTTATCTCCAGAATGACCTATTGGCTTCAGGCTTTTCGGCAAATATGGCATCAATGCCGGATGATTTATTTGCTTTGAACTTCTTTATAGCAAACTCGACTTCGTACTTCAAAATCTCTGGTTTCAGGCGTATGCGATTCAAATTGTTTGGAACGTCTTCCGACATTATATGGGTTTCGTAATACTCTTTCCATCTGTTGACAACCCCATCTATATCAGTTATTAAAAATCGTTCATTTGTGCCCTCTTCAGCCCTTGATTTTTACTTTAAATTTTATTTTCGTGAACAAGTCCCCGGACTGCTTATTTTGGGCATGGTCTTCAATTTCAAATGTTAGTTAGTTAATAGTACTTGTTTTGGTCGTGGGGGTATCGGAGGTTAAAGACGCCCGCTTCTCATCGGGTTCAGAATGTACCAAGTACCAATGTGACTTTTTCCGAGTTATATGTACTTTTTATGATTATCTATACACCACTGACAAACGGTGAAGGAAAACATCGTGAGGAAACCTGAGCTTATAATTTATAATTATAAATTTGTAATCGCCAACCCGCATTGAGCCAGCGTGGTAATTAATGTTCAAACCTTCTCCGTGTGAGAAGAGGCTTTGCTCAGTAGTGGGCATTTATAGGCTGTTGATGATGATGATGACGACTTGTTTTTATCTTGCCAACAGCGACGTTGAACTATACGCGATATGTTTTTGTATCATTCTCGGTCTTCATCCTCTAAGGTGTTTAAGTAGTTCTTTCTTTTCTTTGATAATGTCAATATTAAAGTGTAAAAGTTCCACCTTTAGGTACGTTTCAAAACGTAACAGGCAATGTATAAGAGGTTTTACTTTTGACAAGACTCAAAGCTACCTTTCCACATCTTCTTTAACAGTCCTCTAAATCTGAGGTATGTAAGATAAACGTACTTTTCCATGTTTTTCAAAGCTCACAAGCATCCACAAATCCCAAGCGTCCACAAACTCGCAAGATCATTATTCTCCAAAGTCAAAGTCAAGTAGACCAATATGAGGCAATTTTGAACATCAAATCTAATAATCTAATGCACCTAATGGAACGCATAAGTTTAAAAAGTCGACTGTATGATATTTACCCGAGATCTATAAACTTGGTTGTTAAGTTTGGATCTTCCAGCGTAATGGTTTTCAATGTCGTTTAATTTTTTACCCTCGGTCTCAGGTAAAATGAAGTAGAACACGACGACTCCAACAAAACTAAAATTAGAATTCGTATATGATTAGCTTAAATGTACAATAGCTACTATAGGTACTCCCGATCACAGCAATAACATAACATACACAATATTCTGTTTTGTAGGAAGACTTCATTAAAACCTATTTGTATTGTTTGACACAAGCTACAGAAAGATACCTATATATTATCAAGGTCGTATTAGTGTGACCCTTACAATTGGCTTAATATTTTGACTTTTACAAGGTGACTTTCTAATTCATAGGTGAGCCCAACTGTTTTATTTTCTTTACGTTCATCAATTAAATAGAATAGGTAGACAAAAATAATAACATACCTAGTTTCATAAGAGTTTATTTATTACTTACCATACGATTCCGTAAAAGCCGTAAGTGCCCCATATTGACAAAGTGTCCACCATGCTTATGTATAGTTTGTTTGTTAAAAACCCGAACAAATAGCCAATGGCGCTTGATACTCCAGCACCACCCGAACGTGTTTTGGCACTGAAAACCTAAAGAAAATACAACGTTATGATAGTTTTTTTTCAATATGACCGACCTATATTTTAATTCCTATGATTTTGATACCTATATCCAGTAGCTAAGTACTATTAAGTCTTTTAATTAAAATAAAATCGCACGTTTTTACCGAACGATATGGTCCGATACAAAGTCGTTAACCTCCTATTAACTAAACATCGGACATGTTCAAACCCGCGTTTTATGACTAGGTATGTATCAAAAACAGATTATCTGTCAAATTAAGAATAAATCTTCTGTACAAGGCAAATAAAAGAACAACAACAACAACTGGTATTTATTAGTTATTAAACGACTTCAAAAAAAGGAGGAGGTTCTCAATTCGACTGTATGTTTTTTTAATTATAATGTACGTATAATGTATTCTTAAGATCTATTACAGCGTCATAGAAATACTGGACATCAAGAATACCTATAAAATTCTCACAGAATCTTTAGTTCCTTTGGGCGAGCTCACCCTAACATGAAATTTTGCAGTACTTATTTAGGGAACAGAGTGTATAGTTCCCTAAGGGCTTATTATATTATAATTGTCAGGGCTCACCTCGCCAATTAGAATCCAAGGGAGCAATCTTAAGCCAGTGTGTGCAAGAAGAGCTAATAGCATCAGTAGCGTCATCGGCATCCAAGAGTACGGGTTCCTCTGAAATCATAATATAGGATTAGGTAGGTATTGAGAAGATGATAACCGGTCGACTATAACCACAGGTTCAATTGAAGCTTCTCAGTATAGTGACTGTTCATAATAATCTCGTATTCAGTATCACCCCTACTAGTAGACTACAAAAAGCATCTTCAAAGGTATCCTGACTTCATGTCATCCGACAAACAGTACTGGCCTCATCATGTTTAAAAATCAGAAAATAAATTTTATTTTAAGCAAATTAACTAATTACCGGTTCTTCTTGCATTTCATTTGACGAATTGTTAATCGCAGTCAATGTAGCATTACTTGATTGCAATGCTTCAGTAAAACCATTCTGGAAAAACATAAGGTATACACATAACTTAGTGAAAAATAAACTATAATATAGTAGGTTAAAAAAGATTAAATAACTATTGATAAAAAAATTAAAATTCATGTAGGTTTCACCACCTATTCTCTAGTATTTATCTCTAATATATAAGGAAATAAAATTCCTAGATTCCCAAGGGCTTTGTATTCATCGTGCTTCCGTATATTACTTCCATTTTAGTTTAATTACCAGACAGGAATAATATCAGGCAAAGTCCTGTTCATACATTTGTTTCGATTTAAGTATGTAGTTATATGTACGATGTATAATTCCTTACAGTTTTGATGTATATGTCGTAAATAGCGACCAGTATGCAACAAATTCCAGCTCCACCAGTGGAGAAAAGTGTGAGGGGTCGCTTGCCAGTGTAGTGAACCAACAAGACACAAGTTCCTGCACCCACTATCTGCAGCACTCCAAGGATCAATGTTGCGTAGTACTTGTCAATAGGCGCCCTCAGCATTTGGAATATTGACACTGCGTATGTCTGTAAAACAGTAAAATGGCGTATTAGTAATTATATTGTATGTACTTAATTCCTGCCTCGTTTAATTAGGTAGGTACGTTGTTTATAAATAGTATGTCCATGATGCATATGAAAAAAACCCACAAAAAATATCACGCCTTGGCTCGCCAAGCTTGGTTGACCGCTCGACCACCAAGGATAGAAATAAAAATATTATAGAAATATTTCACCTGCAATGTTGTCATCCCACTAAAGTTACCAACGAAGAACGTGAAAGTCACAAGGAAAAACGGCAACATGAAACTCTTTCTCGTATAATAGGACACTTTTTCAGACATTGTTTCTTCAACTTCTATCAAATCTGTAAACGAAAACCAAATGAACATCAATATTCACATTGTGTACTAAGAAATTGTTTGATGGAAAAATGTTTCTAAACAGTAGGATTAGAAAAATATGATGACCTTTTTTCTCCCTTTTGAACAACACCTGTATGTCACGGAGTTCACTTTCCACAGCAGAAGGAGTTGTCCAACCACGAAGCCATTGTAAGCTCTGAAAAAAATAATTACTCTAGTAAAAATACCAACACAACTGTCCATTTAACATTAGAGTTTTTCCTGAATTCAAGGTTTTATTATGTTGATAGGTCCCAAATACTTTTCCCAAGGTGAACCTTTTAATGCCTTCGACAATAACTAAACTGTTTTTTGTAATGCCATAGATGATAGAAGTACTAAACTTCACGCTAAGTAATAATTAAGAACAGCTAGGCTATTCTATAACTGTCAATTCGAACTTTCGAAGTGAGCTCCATCGCGTTCTCGGCCGTCATTGGTCGATATTATTCTCACAACCAATAACATGGCAGACCGCAATCGTAGTTCACTTCGATCTTTCGAAATGAAAGTTATAGAATAACTAACAGGTAAGAATTTCAAATTAAGATGTTCCAACAACATTTTTACCAAACAGATACCTATTGCAAAATCGGAACTATGTAGAACTAAAGAATGAACTGATTGTTTGAACTAACTTACCCTTCTAGCGTCATCAAAACGCTTCTTAGACACCAGCCAATGCGGAGACTCAGGCACGAAACAGAGGGCAATAATAGCCGTTACCTGAAATGACATTTTAAAATAAGCAGAAGAAAACAGTAAACATCTAGTTCATAACTTGCCCCCACCGAATACTCTTCTCGGCATTACCCTAAGGTAATACTAGTAAACAAAGCCTTGAAACCCTCAGATATGTCTTAATTTCATTCCCTTATAAATCATGAGGACTTATTGGAGAATTTAGTAACATCTGATTACTAAGCCCTTGCAACTCATAAGGACTTACCGAAGACTTTAGATACATGCAGATATTGTGACATACTTAACATTGTATTAAGATGAAAATACGTCTACACTTCGATCTACTACTGTCTTAGTTGATGAAAGCATCGATGAGTATTTAGTACTTGAGTAAATGAAGAAGATGTAAAATAAAAAAAAAATGCAATCTGTTGCTTAGCAGTAAATAAATTAATTTTGAAATTAGAATAATGCCGATGACTATTGACTGGTCGCTGTCAAACAACTCGAAGAAGGGTTACATTACATTCAACTCACATAAATAGAGAAAGCTTTAGAAAGTTGTTTGCATGCATTGGCTCTTTTCCATTGAATTGAGACCATATATGCCTAACACTATTGATGATGTTGACATTTAATAAAATCGTTCTTCTGTTTTATGGCGTTCTACCTACATAACTATTTGTCTTAAGAGCTTAGCTGTTTAGCTCTTCTGAACTGCTTAGTGATAGATGCTGGGTGCATCATTTAGCAGAAAAGATGCTCAATGATGAAGTGACGATGTCAGAACATTTTTCACGTGATAAAAAGGTGACAAATGGTGTGTGGTCGTTATGGGTCTAACCCTCAATTCATCTCTTTCCTTTTCTTGTCTATCTAATTATTATTCATTCGTGCGTCTAATTGATAATAATGAGAGGTTTTCTGAGCCTTCTAGTAAGATGGGATAATCTACTTTTATTGTCTCTTGTATCGTATTATATATATATATATATATATACGTATCTTATTGGGTTCTTATAGGGCCTTATTAATCGTGCTTGTATGATTGCTTTACTATGATATAAATGTACATACACAGTGAGTTCCGAGTCTAGTGTTAACCTCGCGGCAATGTCGTGCAAAGGCATGGAAGTCACGGATGCGGAACGATTCATTCATTGAATACTCATGGTATTTGGAAAATTACTAATGTATGATCAGAGCCACATTATTCTTAGTATTCCAATTAGTATTACTACATACTGTGGGAATCCGAAATTTATTGTTTTCAATGTTTAGGTGAATCTTCGTTAGACTTAATCTGTAAATATGATAAATGTAAAAGCACCTACTATAAAACCTGCGCCAATGTCGCTTTGACATTGGTAAGTCAAGTATTTCTATGTACCCACCAGGGTACATAGAAATACTTAATTTATTATGTCTATGGGTATGGGCACGTTCACGTTCATTAGCTTTGTTTCCTCTACGAATTGTAGAGGCCGTAACTGATGTACGACTCGATAAACCAATTGCGAACACATACATTCGTGCTCACCAATGTCAAAGCGACGTTGGATCATTGTCGTGGACGAGTGCGATGGTAGGTACCTATATGCCGTGGGCGAAATTGTATGTAAAGATACTGAAAGACTTTTATGAGTAATCTTCTACACTGTAATCATTGTCTGATCATGAATGAACTCATAAAAAAAAGATAAACTACCGTACTCAGTCATATACTGGTTACTTACCCAGTCCTTAGCAATTGTTTTCAGAATAAAATCTTTATTAAGGAATTGTTTAAGTAATCATTAGATCTCTCTGAGTACTAGGCAGTAACCGCAATAAAAATTAAACAAGTCAAATACTGTTTGCAAACAGTCAAGATTTAGATAAATATAATTTTAAATCCTTCTTATCTAAGTAGGTATGAGATATTTTTAATTAAACTAACCGTGAATGCGATGTTGACTAAGGCCACAGTCCTCCAATACATGAATATGCCGAAGAGGAACTGTGTGAAGACGCCCAGGATGATGCACAGGGAGCTGGTGGCCGTCAGGGCGCCGCGGAGATGCGGCTGTGTGATCTCAGCCACATACGTCAGCACCTGAAAATAAAAAGAATTTTAATGATTTATTTTTATTGACAAATTAAGTGTCGTGGTGGCCCGGAAGTTTAGGGCCTCGCTTCTCATGCATGAAGGTGCGGGTTCGAAACCTACCAACGGCATGTACCAATGTGACTTTTTCGAAGTTATATGTACCTACTTTCTACGATTATTTAGACACCACTAACAAACGGTGAAGGAAAACATCGTGAGGAAAGAAAAGAAACCTGGGCTTATAATTTCTAATTATAAGTTTGTAACCACCAACACGCATTGATCAAGCGTAGTGATTAATACCTTCTCCGTGCGAGAAGAGGCTTTGCTCAGTAGTGCGTATAGGCTGTTGATGATGATGATGATAATGATGATGATTTTTAATTACTATCAAACATGGTGGCCAGTCTTCAATTTCTGGTATTGCTGGGATTTGTCAGTAACAGCCTAAAATGGTTGTAAGTACGTATGGCAATGAAAACATGCTTGGCCTAGTACCCACATGGGACTCATAAATTAACGGGCGAAAGGTTGCAATAAACTCGTATTCTGGACTAAAACCCATTTTAAACTGTCAAACACCGCGCGGTCACCGGTGACCGCAACCTATTGTTCTTTAATTGTGTCTATAATGACGGTACTCAACGAGTAATTCGATTTCGATTCCTATCGACATATACTTTTTATACAGGGCTATAATACTGCACTTACTTAATTGAAATATGAAACAATACTACCTAGTATCTTCCTCTACCGCATACAGTAATTTACGAGATTCGGGATTAGATCCCTATAATATGTAGGTATGTTGCTCTTTATTTTTCGTTTCGCTCCTTGGTTTGACCAACGCGCAACGGTTAATTTTACATTAGCTTGCCATTTGATGAACTCGTGCGTAACGATGCAATTCTTATCAGAAAAAAGGTGGAATTGAAAAACTTTAATGATTATTAAAAACATTTGTTGTTTGATAATAAGGAAAAAATTGGTTCGCAATTTGTTACTGGGCCCACGGAAGATTGTGGGAAAATAAATATAAAATACTTTACGAAGCATTATACTGATAATAAAATAAAACTGATAATAAAAATACGGTGAAGCTACTTTCTCTATCAGTCCAGTAGAACCGAATGTCGTCTCACGAATTGCCACAAATCTTAAGAGCAACGCTGAGGGCCACGACAATATCACTTTGGACATGATAAATATGACACTACCGCACTCATTAAACGTTATAACTCAAATAATTAACTGTTCCATTGAAACTTCAACGGTTCCCGAGCAATGGAAAATTGCTTCAGTTAGGCCATTACCGAAAAATTTAAACCCAACTGAATTGAAAGATCTACGTCCTATTAGCATTTTGCCGTGTTTGTCCAAGCTATTGGAGAAAGTCGTTAGTCAACAGTTGATTCAATTTTTGGAACAGAATAGTATTCTACCTGACTTACAATCTGGGTTTAGGAGGCAACGCAGTACGTCTACTGCTTTGCTGGACGTTACGGATAATATTCTGGTAGCTCAGGATCAGGGAATGTGTACAGTGCTTGTCTTGCTGGATTTTTCCCGCGCCTTTGACGCAATAAATATTCCCCTATTATTGTCCAAATTGAGTTATTACGGTTTTGCGCCTAGTGCCGTGCAGTGGTTCCGCAGCTACCTCACGAATAGGAAGCAATTTGTCGATTTGCATCTGAGTGATGGCACTACTCTTAGATCATCCTATATGACAGTAGAGAGAGGAGTGCCTCAGGGCTCCATCTTGGGTCCGATTATTTTTATTCTCTATTGTGCAGATATAATTAAATGCATCCATAAATGTAAATACCACATATACGCCGATGATGTCCAGGTTTACATATCTTTCCGTCCAGATGAGTACCATGATGCCATTAAGGATCTTAACGATGATCTACACAGAATTGCCACCTGGTCTGAGGAGCACTGCTTGTCATTGAATCCAACAAAAACCAAATATTTGGTATTTGGCTCAAGACAACAGCTTGCAAAGTTACCTCCATCATTTGACCTGAGATTAATGGGCGAGCAAATTGAGCGAGTGTATGAGGCAAAAAATTTGGGGTTGGTAATGGATAAAGACTTGCGTTTTGAGAGACATGTGGCAGAGTCTGTTAGAAATTGTTTCTATCGCCTGAAGGTCTTATACAGAATGCGACCGTACCTGTCAGTGGCATTACGGGAGCGGCTGATAGAGACCTTAGTTCTTTCTAGGTTAAACTACGTAGACACGGTGTATGGTCCACGCCTGTTAGCACGTACAGATCGGCTCATTCAAAGGGTCCAAAATGCTTGCGCTCGTTTCTGTTACAACATTCCTTGCAGAACCCATGTAACACCATATCTGAACGAACATTTCATATTAAAAATGAAATCCAGACGCAAGCTGCATCTGGCCTGCCTTTTATTTGGTGTAGTTAAATACCAGAAACCGGACTACTTATTCCAAAAATTAAAATGGCTTACGGGCCGGCGGGAATGTGAAAGAAGGCAATGTTCACAGCAACTTACGACCAAGTCATATGGTACAGCCGCTTTCAGGGGCAGCTTTCGCTATGCGGCTTCCAAAGTGTGGAATAACCTCCCACCACCTATTAGAGGAACAAATTCAATGGGTGCATTTAGAAGACGCTTGCGACAATACCTCATCGATACACAGCGAAGGCTTGATATGGTGGTGCAAAATACCTCAATTATATAAGTAATGTACCCGTGCATTCTGTTCATACACACGCAATATAATTTTTATCATATTTAATAAATCTTTTTTGGCTAATTACTATACCCTATTATTATATGTATGTATGTATTATGGTATAACTATATTAATTACTTAATAATTTTATAATACACTTCACACGCTACTCTGCATTTACTGCTTACGTCCGTTGCGTCACAGCCACAGGTTCAGTTGAAAACCAGCGTCAGGCACTAGATGTCTGGCATTTATGCTGAACTGGACCTTTTTTGGTGCAGCTGTCAGGCACATGATTATTGTTGGTATATTTAACTTTTTAAATTTTGTATATACCTACCTACATCTGTTTATGTTCTTTTTTTAATTTTTCTATTTCACTCCTAATTTTTTGTTTGCATTGTATTTATTGTATTGTGTTTGTGCCTGGTGTTGTACCAAATAAATTATTTTTCTTTCTTTCTTTCTTTCTTTCATAATGACTAGATAGTTGTAATTAATAAGGTAGATAAGCAGAAGCAGGTACCTAAGTCGTTTACAGGGAGAGCAGTATACATTTGTCATTTACACCTTCCATGGGCAAGAGCCGATTGTCCTTTACTTTTGACGGGCACCAGTATATAGTCTTTGGGTAATAGTATAAATCACCTTAACCTTTTATAAATGGGCTCTCTGCCATTGCAGCGTTAAGTCCCGTCTTTGAGGAGTGGATTGAGAGACGCTTCGGCGTCCTAACCTACCACCTGACGCAGGTCCTCACCGGACATGGAAGTTTCGGGATTTACCTGTGTCTGATGGGGCGGGAAGAAATGCCCAGGTGTCATCACTGCGAGGACCGCTCTGAGGACACGGTGGAACGCACTGTAGCGGAATACCCTGCATGGACTGAGCACCGCCGTGCCCTCAAGGAAGTGATCGGCGATGGCGACCTCTAGCGTCCGGGCCTAGTGCAGGTCATGATGCGGAGCGAGGGGGACTGGGATACTGTCTCCTCGTTTTGCGAAGCAATTATGCTAGCTAAGGAGGAGGCGGGACGCGTGAGGCTGCGAAGGGCTGCCTCCTCGCAACCCAGCCATCGCGAAGGACACACCGTGCGTCGGGGATCGTGAGACGATATCCGGCCACCGTACGCGCGGGCCTGCGGACGGCGAGCATGGGTCCGACCAGAAACAGATGCGAGCGTACGGCGCGTCGCGTTCCGCATGCACCTCAAAGAGCCATCAGACCACCACAGATGGGGCCCATAGGGCCGATGCCGATTCGGAGTCGCGAAGAACCTAACGGGTTACCGGGGCTCGGCTCGACGTGCAGGAGAAGGAACGGGGTGGCTTTTAGTCAGTAAGAGTCTGATACTCCCTCCCGCCTCACCCAGGCGAGAGTAGTCATTCGATGATTTTCCCCCTTAAAAAAACCTTTTATAGACAATGATCTTCAACACGCTGTTGTCTTTTGTAGGGAAGGCCTGTATATAACTACCTCTATAGTGGCTAGACTAAGTTTCGTTGTGTCATGCATAAGAATTACAATTACATGCAATTTATTTGCGGACCGATTTTGATCGGCATTATCAACTACGTTTATAGTTCAATTAGTGACCCTTCATATGTACATAGGTACGTAAACAAGATCATTAATTAAGTTCGTGCTCTTCTCAAGTTCAAGCCTACAGGAAAACAATGCCGACACTGAGATAAAGTTGTTCGTGATGCTACATTTAGTACGTCGTTATATGCATTCAAGTAATCAGTTTTAACTGTATAATAATATATCTATTTGATAAACGTCGTGAGAGAAAGCCTCATAATAATTATAATAACATGGAATTATTGTTTTATACGTACATCGACCCTATTGATTTTAGTATTTATCAATAAGTAATCAAAAGTACTTACTGGTGCTTCTAGTAAGCCTCCTGATAGACCGGTAATGAAGAGGGCACCATATAAATGTCCCGTGCTTGTTGCAAAGTGGAACATCAACCAAGCTATGCAGAAGGGAACGTTGACCATCTGCATAGCCCTTCGACGCCCGATTGGTGACGTGACAACACCCGATAGTGCACATCCTAAAGGCACTATAATGAGATTAATGGAACCTGCAAGAAAATAATTTGCGTTTAACAAAAAGTATAAATTAATTGTTATTTATATGCATAGGTGTAGTAGTACACTGCCAATAAGTAGCCGAAACACAATAATCTCTCTAACATGCTCACTTTCAATTACCAGGTATCATTGGGATGACACATAAATAATACTAGATTTACCTTTTCAACTTTTGACACCGCATTTGACACGGTACAGGTAAATCGTAAGGTGTGTAGGCTACAATTTAACAGTATAGCTCGACTGTACAGTTGAATCGTAAGGTCTGTAGCGTGAGAAGTTCTTTATGATTGTTACTATCGCAGTACGAGTATTCACTTCTGCCCATCCCTCCGACAAATTACTGTATCTTTTTAAGAATGCTTATCCAAGTATCACATAAATAGTTAAACACATTTTTATAAAGTATTCGTATCGTTCATTGTGTTGTACGCCAGGTATTTGTCCTGCTCATATATATATACGTCCAAAATACGAACAAACTGTTATTAGTAGGTTTTTAGGTTGTACAAATTAATATAATCTAAATCGCTACATATTATTATGCCAGTCACCATCGTGGCAACTACTTGCCGCTCTTATCTCTTATGCAAACAAGCTAGGTATACATTATATTTACTTTCATTAGATTACCTACATCAGGTTTTCTTTTATGCTTGTTTGTGTTTAAGACGTTCAGGTCAATCCAGGTACCTATTTCTATTTATTTACCTCAACGACCTAACAAGGTCTGATATTAATAAACTAGTTAGATACAAACGAAAATGAACCTTGATCATCGTTGCCCTCGCTGTACACCATTACCTCTATATTATAAACAACATGACCAATGTTTTCGTTTAAATGATGATCTCAGACAGATTTGATGATCTTCAGAAACGTACAATCAAATATTAACCTTCAAGCGGGCGCGCGTAGTCGAATCGACCGCGGTTAATACATTTTCGTTCGTATTTTTATTTTTAGTTGCCACATGCATTTCTTATTTCTAGTAGCCTGTCACTATCTTTTTAGGAGTAAAATAAAAACTATTTCGTTGCTTGAAGCGCTCTCTACACTCCACAAATTACATTTTTTTAGGCTCTGGCGCAGTCGTTGAAAAGACTACACGCGCCTGTCGTCGAATAGGTTACGCGCGACGCCCAACGCGACATACACATGTCAATATTATCTAATTCAGCTTGGAGTTTTGGTGTTTTAAAGCATTTTTTGTTAAAATAAGTCGTTTATGGTTATCGCAAAGTACAGTAATCGAGGAATTACAAAGAGAAGACGAAGAAGAGAGTGAATCAGAGCTTAGCAACCAAGGCTCTGAAACTTCTCATCACATAGTTTTAGAAGAACATCTATCTGATGTGATATCATCCTTGTCGGATTTAGATGAGAATAATTTGTAGGTTTCGGAAATAAATAGCTGTTTTACAGGACGCGATAAAGTAACTAAGTAGCAAAATCTGAAAATTACTAGAATACTGACTCAGACGAAAATAAAATCAAAATTAATGAGTTTTTAGAGTTTTATCCTTACTTTTTATTTATTTTTTGGTCTACGTATATAAACCAACCTAACATATGTAAACGGGTCTTAATATTTTGATCCGAAGAATATTCGAGTTACTTTAGGTGACGTAATAATTGCTTCTTTTTCATAACTTTAATTACTTGTTGTGACAAATTTCTCTTTAAAGACAATGATATTGTATCTTAGTACAAATTAATAAATGATTATCCCATAATTATTGCTTTCTTGGTCTTATTCATCCCATAGGTCTATTCGGTTACGCGCGCCCGCTCCCGTTACAAAAGACCGCGCGCCCGCTTGAAGGTTAAACCAAGCTTACTGGATGATGATCGATCATGTATGTACAAAATAAAAATAGCCACAAGTACAAAAGTACCGTATTTTACTTATGTCAACTCTTCTTCGCACACTTCGGTTAAGTTTAATGGGCAACATAAAACAAGGCTTTTGTTAGACTTGACGGCCTCATTATTATGCAATAAACCCCATGAATAGTGATGATGTCAATGTTCTTGCTTAATTGGTCGAGTGAAGTGTGTAATGTATTCATAGTATGTACATCTGTGTGTGTATAATCCGTTTACTTCAAATGCGACATATACTTACTGATCCATGAAATTTCTGACTTATTTAAATGTAGAACTTCGCCTTCTTTGGGATCCAGAACGGCTGGCATGAGTATAGTGGAGAATCCAAGCGTCATTCCATATCCTAGAAGAATTTAAGAACTTTAGATTTGTATGCAGCAATGGCCCAAATAGTAAATGGTCATGGGCTGTTAATGAAAATGTTTAGGAAATAAATCAGGGCAAGTAAGGGTCAGAAGTACTAACTTAGGTATCTTATGTTAAACCAGACCGTGGATTGAGGTAAAAGTAGTATTACCTCTTGATTTAAACGATCTTCAGTTTACGAGCAACATATTCGGTTTTGCAGACTGCCAGAAGAAAATTACTTTCCAGCAGGAAGATTTTTTTTTTTGTTTATATGAATGATGTGACCTCATACGGTAACATCATAAAAAATTACAATCTAGCTTTAATGCTAATAAGTAATTTAATTTGGTCTTAATTTGCTAGGAAAGTAGGCAGATGATTTATAAATATTGAATTATATACACGATTGATTACTTGACAAAATCCTTGAACGTCACTCTGCTCACAAGGTTAAAACGAAACGCCAAATACAATTGCTTTGATAAAAAACTCTTGTTAAATGGTTAGTTATCTCAGGTATGAAAATGATGTGCAGTAATAAAATATAAGTCTAAGAACTGTTTTGGCTTCGTGCTAATGTAGGTATCTAATTACTATATAGGTACCTACTTACATCATTCAGATAAAATCCAAATTCAAATGAACGAAATCACTGTACCCGTTTTCAATGGCAATCTTTTGAAATTACTTATAAGAATTTCTGTGAAATTGCATGCAATAAAATGGGCAGACTACAATAAAGCGAAGAAATTGCATTTAAGTTCAAGGGCATTTGAGTTATTGGTCAACAATTTACAAGATTCTTAAATGAAAATACATTTGTTTCTACTAGTGTTAATAAATACTTATAATGTTGATAGGTAATGAATGGGGGCTACCGTATTTTTGGTCACCAGGTGGTGCAAATGTAAGAAGAGCTTTTAGCCCAATCACAGCAGTTGTTAAATATTGCACATCCAATAGGGTGGCACTAGGTAATTGCCTTTTGAACGAAGAACGAAATGTTCCCATTAGCGCCATTATTTTGAGGAAAAATACGGTAGGCCTCATTGCGTCGATGATACACAAAAGTACCTACCTAAAAGCACCAAGTTCTTCGCGCTGACGGCCAAGAACTGTGGCAAGGCAGTACGAAAGTCTTTACTGTACGTGTAGTCGTCCGGCGACAGACCTCCATCACCAAACACCATGGATTTGTCACCTGACATCTGAAACAGATAACACAGAAATATATGCCACTGGCCACATATGACTTCAGGCCTCAAACGCGACAGCAGATCTGTGCAAGGAAGTAGCCTATGTATGTAGGTATGTACAAATTAGAAAAAATGAACCACATAAAAATAGCATTAGAAATATCATAAGCAGGTCATAAAATGATATGAAGTCTCACAAAATACACTTTTCGATAAAATTCTACCAAGCCCATTAAGCTCGTGTTGTCAAAAACTAATTAGATCTCATATTAAATGTTCAAAAGGCATCAAATTTTTGGGAGGATAAAATTTAGGGAATGCGTTATTTTTGAGTCTCACTAAACCACCGGTAGCCTCTAAGTTGGCCGCCATCAGCACCTAGCATAAAACAAAATAGACTAGACCCGAAGCCATGGCCTTCTAACCTAAGCTATCCGAATCGGAATGATGTTTCAATCGGTAGGTACTTCCGAAAATCACGAGGGTCTAGATTTTCTTATATTTGTCACAAAATGTTATATAATAATGGTGCATGTCTTGCAATATTATTAATTTGTGTTGTCTTAGGAGCGGAGCAAGGTTTCCTTCTTCTTTATCGTCCAATTGATGTCACTAATGAGTGCGCCTTCTCAGGGCGGCTGCGATACGATGTCTCATTCGGCATGGGAATGTCAGACACCGTTACTTTGGTACGTCCAACATATTAAAACTTCCATTCTGGTTAAATGCTAAACATTGAAGCCTTGGAACCTTTGCTAGTTCACCTTCTTTATATTATTTCCTCATTGGCTGACCACTGTGTGATGCAAGGTATGTAATATGCGGGTTGCACAATTTTACAAGCTTTTTAATTTATTGCAATGAGTAACGGTAAACATAAAACCCCTTTTGTCAGTTTTTAAAGTGAAAAAGCACACCGTTTCCTATTGAAACTGCAATCTTTCTTAACAGAATAAACAGTTGACACTAATAAATATGCGCGGGACCGTAATTGTGTTAAGTATATACAGTATTTTAGGTATACACAACACGTAACTACTATACACCCATTACCAATGCCAATGGGGATGATGACAGGGTATGAAAATTAAAAATATAATTAGTCCGTAACTTAGGTAATAAAAAAATATTAGACACACCTACATTAAAATAAAAATTAGTCGTCTACCCCATTAAGTAAGTAATATGAAATTATGTCAGTGGAATAATTGACATCGAGTAGTAATAAATATCTTTATGTTACTGTGAAGTATCGATAAAAAAAACATAAAATAACATTTATTTATGTTCAATTTGCAAGTAGTAATACACTTAAGGAAATAAAAATTTGCCCTCATCAATTAGTTGTAACTTTTTATACCCAAGAGATTATAAAATGGGAATATGAAAACAATTAACTAAAGGTAAAACTCACATTTCGCCAGGTGATAAGTGCTTTAAAATAATGGGCAAGCGCAGAGCAATAGATGTACACTAGACACAATCAAATTCTACTTTGTTTATCCGAAAAATTTTATATTTTTTTACTAGCTTCATCCCGCTTACGCTCAGTCCCGTTTTTTCCCGTTCCCGTAGGATTTTCAGGATTTTTTTCTGTCGTAAGAACCTTCTCCTGACAATAACAAACACAACAAAAAAGATCAGCCAAATCGGTTTAGCCGTTCTCAAGTTATGGCGTGACAACGGGAAACGGGTTTAATTTTTATATATTTATAGATAGATAAGTATCTATTATCTACGCCATTATAGTTACTCACTTGCATTAATTATTATTACCTATCTTCTTTAGAACTGATATCACTCACTCAGAACTAGTAATGTCACCTCTGGAATCCGATGTTAGAATGAAGAAAAAATGACTTAATTTTTTTATTTTATATATTTGATACGAATAATGATTTTTTTTCCATTATCGTGATTATTACCATGTTTGAATAGTTAACCATATCGCGCGTGGCTTCAAATCTAAGCCACCAAATATCGTAAATGTCTATCTCGACATTTTTATACAACACTAGCTTTTGCTCGCGACTTCGTCCGCGCATTAATAACATCAGGCATAATTTAGATTTTTTTGCTTATCCCCTATTCCAAGGCATATTTCTATGTATGATTTTAAATTTCAATCAAGTCAGTCCTACTATAGTTTTCCTTTATTGTGATATTGTAAAAGATTAGATGGTTCTAAATACATAATTATAGTTCTAAGTTTTACGCACATAGATTCCGTAGGATTTTCATTATAAAAAGTTGTAATAAATTTCACCCTAATCTGCGTCTAAAGGCAAACGTCAGAATTCGTACAACATACTTTTTGTTGTTCCTTGATACAATTTTGTACCACTTATTGAGCCAACTAAACCATTCATTTCATAAAACATTATTATTTTTAGAAGTTCGAATTTATTAAAACGACTATACCTACTTATTATGTTTCCATACAGTGAGGACAGTCACTGTCTCAGGTATCAAACTACCATTGTACAATGGTAATACCACTGAAATTCCGTAGTTTGAGTAGTTTGAAAGAAATGGTATCCCGGGATTTTAACGCCTAGTTTCCATTCCCGTACGGTTTCTGGTATGAAACCTGTCTAAGCCCTTTCTTGGGGCTTTACTTATTGCTGTAAGGAATTTCAGTCAAATAGGTTCAGTGGATTGTAAGACACAGAGACCCGAGATTTTGACGTCGATTTCCCGTTTTCGTGGTAGTTTTGAAATTAAACTATCCTATGCTTTATACTTATTCTTTAAAGGATTGTTTATATTGTTCTTTGGGTCTAGAACTACAGTTGTAAGTATCTAATTTTACCCAAATAGGTTTTAAAAATACAGAGTTCCGAAATTTTAACGCAGATTACCTTGTGGGTTTTCGGGATAAAAATATCTTATGTCCTTTCTCGAATCCTAAACTATATGTGTCCTAAATTTCATCCAAATAAGTTAGTGGATTCGGAATATCACATTTTTTATTTATTTATAAGTAGTTAATACGAAAAACAACAGGTATTTTTTAACGTCCTTGAACTATAATACAATTTTAGAGCCATTAGACCTCCTTATACCTATATACGGCCCTGCAGCTTGACAGAAAGAAAAAGCATTTATTCGACAAATAGGCACACAAATACAACGTGAATTGAAATTAAAAAATAAATAAGATACAGATATTTATATATACTGACTATATATACTATATTTATATATACTAACTACTACAAAAATTACCATCAACTAAACTAAGAATTTTCATTAAATCCTATACTTAGGTGACCATTTCATAATATTATTTTATTAGAAACCTCTTTGATTGCGTACTTGTTACTAACCTGGCCTTACATTAACGTTATCGTTTATAATTTGGGCTCGCTGCCATTGCAGCGGTAAGTCCCCTCTTTGAGGAGTAGCTTGAGAGACGCTACGACGTCCTCATCTACCGCCTGACGCAGATCCTCACCTGGCATGGAAGTTTCGGGAGGTACCTGTGTCTGATGGGGCGGGAGGAAACGCCCGGGTGTCATCACTGCGAAGACCGCCCTGAGGACACGGTGGAACACACTGTAGCGGAATGCCCTGCATGGGCTGAGCACCGCCGTGTCCTCAGGGAAGTGATCGGCGATGGCGACCTCTCGCGTCCGGGCCTAGTGCAGGCCATGATGCGGAGCGAGGGGGACTGGGATGCTGTCTCCTCCTTTTGCGACGCATGAGGCAGCGAAACGCCGCCTCCTCGCAACCCAGCCATCGCGAAGGACACACCGGGCGTCGGGGATCGCGGGACGATCTCCGGCCACCGCAAGCGCAGGCCTGCGGACGGCAAGCATGGGTGGCTGCGTCCGACCCGAGCGTAAACAGACCCGAGCGTAAGGTGCGTCGCGTTCCGCGCGCGCCTCAAAGAGCCATCAGATGACCACAGATGGGGCCCAACAGGGGCGATGCCGATTCGGAGTCGCGAAGAACCTAACGGGTAACCGGGGCTCTGGCTCGACGTGCAGGAGAAGGAACGTGGTTTACTACTGCTCCCGCCTCACCCAGGCGGGAGCAGTAATTCGATGATTTTCCCCCCTTAAAAAAATCGTTTGTTTTTAGACCTACCGAACATTCAGTTTTACAGCAACTACACATATTTTTTCATGTTTCTTCAAATATGGATAATAAATATTGTTATGTGACCTCATCACAGCTTATGTCTCAAAAGGTAATCTGTGGAAAATGTTGTGGATATTACATTAATTTGGTTTTATGTACTTTACTGATGGATATTATATATAATGTAATATTGTTTTTTTTCCCAAATATAATAAAATAAAATAAAAATAAAAATAAAATAAAATATTTTTAATTACCTACTTATTAACTTGACAGTTCTTAGTTTTACGGTTTTTAGTGGCGGTCTTCAGTGCGTAAATTCTAATCGATTCAAATATTGCGTCTTTATCGACTTCTTAATAGTTCGTAAAATATTGAAAATCACAGTTGAACAACACAAAAAAACACAGTAATTATTCGATCACATAAATATAATGAAATATTGATACATAAATAATAAAGCACGTCATAACCGTCAGAAATATTTGTATTTTACTATGTTTTCACTATTATCAGCGACATTTTGTTAATGTAGGTATATTAAATTAATATGTATTGTAATTTTCCATCGTTTTGACAATATCCTAAGCAGAATAGTGATTGCTGTTCCACCTCACTTAAAAAAAGTAAATAGATATGGCCGTCATTGTCACATTTCGAATTTTCTAATTATAGAACTTGTTATTTTTTAATGTAATTTGACAACAAATGAAGTATCTAAGGAGGATTTTCAGCGATTAAAAAATAATTAAACCTTTCTATACACATTGAATTTCAATAAAGAATTAAAGAAGTTTGTGCTCCAGCGTGATTCCTACATTTTCAGTTCAGGACAAAGCCTTTTAAATATATATATTTAATAAATATATATGTATATGCTGCATTTACATTGTATAATCTGTATATGTAGTAATCTGTATATGTAA